GAGAGAGAGAGAGAGAGGGATTTACCTGTCTGGTTAGTTTGAGAGTCAGTGCTGTAGCTTACTACATTACTCTTACTGGTGGCATGGAGCACATAATTGGTGGTGTAGTAATTCAGCCCCAAGAAATCATATGATCCCTTCAACAACAGTGATTGCTCCTTAGTGAATTTGGGCAATCTTCCTCCCACTAAAGCTCTCATGCTGAATGGATAATCACCCAGGGCAATTGGATCCCAAAACCTAAAAAATACGCCATATTACTTATAATTAATTTTTTGGATAATTTCGATAGTTTTGAAGGTGATTTTGGAATTTTCATAATTTTTTTCTTTCTTTTTAAAATTTTCAGAAATATTCAAAATCTAAATCAAATTTTCAATAATCCATCTTTTATAGAGTTTTTTTTATTTTTTAGACCTCTAATGATTTCTGCTTCTTTTTTTAGTTCTATTTGGTCTACATTCACAGGTTAATGCTTTCGTCAGAGAAATCTTACCATCCAAACATAAAATCAAGAGCTCGTTGGGCAGCATCATCATTGGATCTTGAAGAAGAGTAAGGAATCATCCAATGGGTAACAAGGGTTACGCCTATCACTCCCTTCTGGTAAGCCTGCACATGGACCAATTTATAATACGTTATGCACAAAATAAAAGAGGTGATGTTTTAAACTAATAAATGGTTCAATTGTTAGAATAGCTACTTGGGAGATACCAAGTGTCTATATTTGGTATGTTTTCTATTTTTATTATTAATATTGTGATAAGTTTTCTATCTTTTGGATCTTATGATAATCAAGGAATTTAGTAGCTGAATTAAAGTTTTTAAAATTAGCCGAATTAAGACATAGTATATGAAATGCATATTAATAAGAGTAGAGATGATGACGTAGTTAAGATTGACGGCCAAGAAATACAAAAAAGATAGCACTTTTGATATCTTGGGTTGATAATTAATGAAAATGGAGAGATCGAAAAAGATGTTGCACATAATATTAGAGCTGGGTGGGTGAAGTGGAAATGTGCAATCGGAGTTTTATGTGAACACCACTGAAGCTTAATGACAAGTTCTATAACACAACTGTGAGACTGGCTTATTTTATGGATGAAATATTGAGCAGTCAAGAAACAACATACCCATAGAATGATTGTAGCTGAGATGATGATGTTGAGATGGATGAGTGGTAAGACGGCAAGGGATAGAATTTGAAATGAACACATTCAGGAGAATTTACGTGTAGCACCAATAGGTATTAATATGAGAGAAAGTAAACTTAGGTGGGTTGACCATGAGTAACGTAAATCTAGTATAACACCTGTTAGGAGGTGCGAGTTAGTTCAAGTGGAAGACTAAAAAAATGACAAGGGGTAGGCCCAAAAGGACGTGATTGGAAGTCATGAAAAACGATACGAGAACTTATGCCCTAACTGAGGGTATAATTTTTAATAGAGTAGAATGACAGACTAGAATTCATGTAACCAACCACAATTAATTGATTAAAAGCTTTGACGATGATGATATGCAATGAACTTATTAATAGTGAGACTAAGGGAAGTCGAAACCCTTGCCTTTTAGATCAATGATGGACTTGAACCCCTAAACCTTCATTAAAATGAAAGGAAGTTGAAAAAGAATCTAACTCCCCTTATTTCTTTATTTGTTTTTTAAATTGATTGGGGAAATCTAGAAATAGTTCTTGAATTCTTTTTTCCATTCGCTTTCTTAACTCTTTTTTATAGAGAAAAAAACATGAAATCCAAATATACGTTATAGCTTACTTTATATTTTTCCCTGTACAACTTCACTGCAGATGCGTGCGAGAGGAGAAGGTGATGGGCAACAACATAACCTTCGGTACCAGAATTTCCTGCAGTACAGTTTCCGTCCGGTTTCGAGCAACGCCCGGGTGCGAAAATCCCGGCCACATAACCTCCAAATGCATAAGAATATGGTTCATTCAAAGTAATCCAATGTTTCACTCTGTCTCCAAATTCTCTAAAGCAAACGTCAACGTAGTCTGTGTAGTCTTTCCTGTTTAGATCACATATTCATATAATGAGCCAGGTAGCTTACAATGATAAGAAATGCTTGAACAAAATCATAATGATGTTTTATTGGTATTACTTCCGTTATCAAGGAGAACAAAGAGGATGGTTCTTTGTTGAGGAATTGTATGCTATAAGGCTATTTATTTGGTTATAAGGAGGTCAGAATGATCTCTAGCCATCGGATATGAAATCAAAGTACTAGAGATATCTCACCGAGTATGTAAAATTTTTATTTGGATTTGGTTGTCTGATTTATATCGAACAGTCAAAAGTGATTGTAACCTCTTTGTACTAAAAGTACATAAGTTTCCTTCTGTTATATGTAACAGTTGGCTATATTAGCATGATTCTTTAAAAAAATTAACTATTTTTGCTTAACTATCAAGCATGTCAGTTTTAAGATCTATAAACACTTTAAAAACTTTAAAATTGATGGTCTAGATAACACATTACAAGATACACGATTTTCAAGACTTGAAATCTATTTTTCTTCATATCCATAAATCTTGAAGTTGAGATGATCGATTTGAAGGTTTCTCAGCATCGAACCAACTGTGAATTTTTAAAGTGCGTCTTAATTTAATTGTTTAGAGCCTCACCCTTATATAAACCTTTTCATTAAAAAAAGGCGTAGAGTAAGGCAACAGACAAAGTAAAAGAAAAAGGGGTAGAACATGCATCAGGTTACTATTCTTACCTAAGGATCCAGCAAAAATTTTTCTTTTTTAGTGACAAACACAAAAAATCATGATACGTTATGTACGTTTGTAAATTTTTATGTTGCCTTTTGCTTTTCTAAATGATGTCTCACTCAATGCTGAAGCAAAAGCTCAATAGAATAGACGGTTAAGATAGAGAGAGAGAGAGAGAGGGGTTTACACTATATTGGGACTGAGGAATCCTCCATAGGCGTCCTCTAGAGCTTGGGGAAGATCCCAATGAAAAAGTGTCACAAACGGTTGAATACCTGCAAGACATCACATGCATTGCATTTCACATAAATGGATGTGAGAGAGACAAATATGAGTGTGTGTGTGCGAGACAGAAATATGCAGCAATATAAACTAAGGCCGGATGATTTTATACTTCCATAGGAGTATACTGTCTATTTACGCCCTTGGGTAAAGCCCAATTTAAGAGTATCTTTAGAGCCCACAACTGTTAGAAGGTAACCTCTTCAAATCATATACTAACCTCAGTAAACAAAAAAAAAAAAAAAGAACTAAATTTCTGAATCAAACTCTAAAAAGATAATGTCTCAAGATTGAACGCCCATTGTAGGAGGACGAGACCTAGGTGACAAAAACTCGAATCTTTTTTCTTTTGAAAATAGTCATCTAGTGATTTTTAGGTGCTTCCTAAAAATGATTGAAAAATCCTCCTAAATAGGTCTTTTGACTGGGCGAGTAGATGCACAGTATTGCTCCTACAGGTGTATAGTACAAGTGCTCCTATACTAAGAACGCATGAATTAAATTGTATCTCTAAATAAAATAAACATAGATTAAAGAGCAGGTGCCTCCATGAACAATGTAAACAAAGAACTCATGGAAGAGAGAGAGAACCATTGGCAAGGAGTTCATTGATGAGGCTGTTGTAATGGTCGATCCCTGCTCTGTTCACACCTCCTTCCAAGGTACCCTCTGATTTATCACATTTAGAAAAAAATAAATAATTATTTACCATTTGCAAAGCAAAACTAAATAGCTACACTCTTCCAGCTCTCTATTCTCCACCAAAACCAAGAAGAAATAACAAAAAGAAAGGAAAAAATCAGAAAATTTAAAATACTTGAAGGCCTAAAGACTTACTAGGTAGAATTCTAGGCCAAGCAATTGACAGTCGATATGCATCGAGCCCAAGATATTTCATGAGTTTAACATCATCCTGCAACATGATGCAGATTCAACTAAATATTTAAATAAATCATGCAAAACAAGTAAAATATGTAAGTATAAAAAACTATGGTAGGAAAGGAAAAAGAACCTTGTAAAGGTGATATTGGTCAATTGCAACGTCCCCATTGCTGCCGTCGAAAATCTTTCCTGTGATTGTCAGGATATTAGATCTAACTTTCGAGAAGAAATATACTTCTATTCTAGATAGATTTGACACATCTTTTAAAATAATGTCAAAGCATATCGTACTTCACTATCTTTCTACCCGTTAGCAATAAAAAGACATAAGGGGCATTTTCATCATTGTAGTTTTGGTAATTAAGGATAGATGTATAGAATTTGAGAAGTTAGATTTTGCCATTCTCAAATCTGAGCCTGTAACTAACATTTAAAAACCAAATCAATGGATCAAACTGGTCACCTACTACATGGGAACTGTTGCTGCCCGTCCACCACTTCTCTTGGGTTTTTGTGTTAAAAAATTAAAAGACTTAAAAGAAAAGGGATACAGTTTCTATTAGGCCTAGGTTCTATGAAAAAATTAAAAAAAAAAAAAAGTAGCACTTGGCGCATAAATAATCTTTAAGATGGCTCTAAAATCTATTTTCACCACTGATTATAATAAACAAGTATTATAATATATGCTATTTTTAAAGCTTGAAAATTCTATTTTTTTTTCTTCTACACTATAGTCGTGGGAGTACAAGGCGACACAGGGGATAAGGG